CCTGGTGCATGGAACAGTCTTCGATTGCAGATGAGCAAAGTTGCTACCTATCATCTTGGGTGAAGGGAGCGGTCGTCATTCGGGCCATTCGACTCAGGGGCAGTCTGCCATTTCTTTCACACAAATGGGCCAGCAAGCCAACTTGCTCTTGGTAGGATCGATATTGTACTGGAACCGTCTAGCCTGAACCAGGTCTGTGGCGATTCAGGAGATTTCAACAACCAGGTCGAACCATTGGCTTAACTCCCTTCTTTCACCTCTCTTAGTTACATTCCTCCCTTGCCGATGCGCCTTTTTCTGCTCTCCTCATCTTGCTGCTGCTTCTTTTTCCTGCATCCACGCTTGGCATGAAATCAAGCCGGAAGCACCAAGACTCACGATACAGACCAAAGCATTCCAAGACGCAACTGCGGGCTCTGGTTTGGATAACTCTCAATGCACGCGGGAAGTGTGCGCACATGGGGAGTTCCCATTGATTCCATTGATGTGATTGTTGCGACATCTGAACTCCCTGAAGCAGATAGGGAGGTGAGGTCGGCATTTTTCGAAAGAGCAGGATCCAACGTCATCATGGCCTTAGACCGCAACCAACAGCTGCATGCGCCGGGTTCAGTCTCTACGACGATACCAGCACGCATCGTCGAAACCCGAGGCTCTCGAAGACATGAAGACTATAACGGCAAGCCTCAAAAAACAGACACCTCAAGCCCCTGAAAGCATTGAAACTTCTGCGTGCGTGAAACTTCCATGTAGAGCAAGCAACCCAAAATCTCTGAGCCAAATACGAACAACCATTGAATCTTCCAAGCTGGCCAGACTTCTGCACCCATGAAACCCGGCCATGTGTCGGACCCAACCACACTGCAAAGTCCATGATCGTTCGGCTTCAGCGACTAGTGTCTCAGGAAATTTCTTACGGTAGCTATATTCGGACTGAGCCAGAGCCGATCATCCTGTAAAAAGCATCCATCTGCCCAATTATCATGCGAAAGGTTGTTCAAGCACAAGGTGTCCTCTTGACCTGCTGCTTCATCTTGTCTGCAATCGCCTGCCATGGCAACGAAGGCGTCATGCGGGCCCTCATTTCTGGAGTGAAGAAAGTCTGACGGCTAGCTAAAATGTTGGCAGGTGTTCAGGGTTGAGGGGCCAAGAATGGCAAGAAGTACAAGTTGATCATCCTACCTGCTTCCCAACTTTGTGACTTCAAGAGCTGTCAAACATCCAAGCCCTACGTCACTATGCCTCAAAGCAGACCTGAGATACCTAAACCCAACAAAATGCTGCAGTTCCCCAGCTCGAAAGAACGAAGATGCGAAGCTCCTATGGAACTACCTGAGACAGGTACACTAAGGTGGCACCCTTCAGGACAACAGCTGACCGATGAGAGTAGTATTACAAGTAATATTAATTAATCTAGCGATCTGCAAGGGTTTGCCATAACCCGAATCAGTCTTCGTGGTATAAACGTGTGGCATGTCCGTACTGCAGAAAGCATGAGGGTTCTGTCTCGCCGTTTCTATTTTTCGCCGGAAGACCAGGGGATATTCGACAGCGCGAGTCCTGCATCTTCTTCTTTTTCTCCTCCTCCATGTCGGCCAAGATGGCCTCCCGCTCCTCTTTGCTCAGAGCCTTCGCCAGGTCGATGCTAATTCTGCTTGGGGTCATGTAGTAGTATGGAGGAGTGTTGGGAAGAGGGGTTGGGAAGTACAATCCTGGGATGCAGGCGATCACACTTGTCTCGGCATAGGTGCTGTAGGGCTTAGGCACAGGTGTGCAAAGGCATGTGAGCGTGTGTCTCTTGAGCTGTGGACCGATTTTAAGCAAGAGAGGCCTCAACCGTGTCCACCTTCTTCCGCTCGAACCTGAGCATGGATTGTTCTGAACACAACGCTCATAGTCACATGAGGCACCAGCCAAACTCGTGGTGCACCAAGCCTCAAATGAAGTAGGGGCAACTAGGCCCAGGGCTTTCCATTGCGCACGACGCCGGCGTAGTTCTTGCCTCAACCAAACCGATATCGTTCGGGCTGAAAGTTCCAGATGAGAGATTGTAGAACTGCTGTGTGGATGGCACAACCACGAATGCAAAAGCTTCCCGCACGATGAAAGAGCACATCACATGCATCACAGCAAAGGCCGAAAGATGCATCGTAGCCTAGACTCGTACTACTTGGCACGACAACAACAAGCATAGCGACCGCAGCAACAGCAAGAGTACTGCACGAGTAGAGGGGGTGTTTGTCGTTTCTGAGTGGATGTAGGGATCTGCCCAGCACGCGTCGGATGCGAATCTACGCGCGGGAACTGCAATGTGACCCAAGCAAGCATCAGGCCTGCATCCTTCTTCTCCAATACTGGAGCTGATTGAGATGCACCTTGGCACACCGAATCGTGGTGACCTTAAATTGGGCACAGGAGGTTAAACAGATCAACCGTAGCAGCATCTTCTAAATCACACACCCCAAAAGACACCCCAAGAGCATGCCCGAATGCATTGAATATACGGGGCTGCCGAGTTCACCAGCCTTGGCTACTCCTTCCGGGTCGTTACAACAGCCTTGGTCACCGGCGGAGCTCGTTAGCCTGGGTGCTCTGGCTCATCTCCCTGCGTCAATGAGGCAGTTGATGGCTGACGGGTACTCCGGCATGTGAACCCAGATTGTATCGCAGGCATGCTGAGGCTTTCCCTGCATGCGACACTCGTTGCATGGCTCACGTCTTCCTATGTGCAACTCCTTCCTTGCCACTGCCATCACCACGATGCCCTTTCGGGTCACCAACATCATCATATCTATCGTCACACGCAACTGCGATCACAGGACTCGCAACTTCTCCCTGCAGGTAAGCTCAGACTAAACCCTTCCGGTCCTTGCCGAACCATGCGGATCCATAGCCGGCGGCCTGGAGCCCCGGACAAGAGGCGACACGAGTCATCTACGGGCTAGGTGCAGGGTTCCACGCTGCGAGTGTTTGGGCGCGACGTTGTGGTTCTGAATTTATGGATTCCCAATGGTGAAACCATCACAGGCTATCTAAGAAGACTTCCACCCCTAATTCCAGGAAGCACGCGACTACTCAGAGAAGCGTCCTTCGGGAAAACTGCCGGCACGAGGATTGCGCTTCACACGCTGCGTCCCACTTTACAGTTTGTTACAGTTTGGCCCTTGGGCTTGTTCAAGTCAACGCAAGCAGACTGGAACATGACTGGTCAATATGCAAAACGTTCAAGTTAAGTAAAGCTATGACAGCTATGCTTCATTTACGGGTGTTGTTTGTATACATGGATTTCGAGGAACCTAACGTGAGCCCTATCTGGACATCTGCCAACTGCTAAGCTGCTATGTGTGACCCAAGCCCAAAGCCCAGTCAACATTGCACCTTGCAAAATCCCTAGCGCAGTGGAACCTAACAATCCTAGCCCCAGCCTGAGGAACCCAGTAAACTTTCATAAACCGATAACCCACTGCAAACCCATATAATATACACCCTGGTAGACCATGTCTATATCAGTATCTGTACCAACATAATATATATATATATATATATATATACACATGCATGTATATGTATATTGGAGGAATGCACGCGTTGCCTCGGCTGGGCGTCATCCGGCTTGGGAGGCCTAGGCAGACAAATGCTCGGGATGCCTGGGGTCGTCGCTCAGAAACTGGAGTTACTACACCTTTGCATATGTGACATAGCAAAGGCTTCTAGCGACCTACATTTCGTAGCAATATGTACATGTATGCACACGCTGTGCAATGCATGCATACATACATACATAATTACATACATACATACATGCATGCATGCATGCATGCATACATACTCAGCTTCATTCAACATCATATACAGGTTAGGTTCCTTTGTACCGGCATGCAATTACGGTATACATATATGTATATATATATATATATATATATATACATATATACAAACATAAACATGTGTGTGTATGCACGCATGTCTGCATGCATAGTGTGTGTATACGTACATGATATGTATATGGATGGACGGACGTATGCACAGGATGTACGCATGTACATCTGTATGAAGGTGTGCATGTAGGTAGGCGGGGGAGTAGGTAGCTACAATGTGCGTGAGTGTGCGCACGCATATTTTCACGTTTATGCTTAAGTCCTTCAGCTTTGTGCATATCCATTTAATGTTCAGATCATGTGTGTTCTCATCGGCAGCAACATCTTCCTTTTCCCGCAAGATTTGGTCCTCGCAAGCCCAGCATTTTCAAATCGTGAGGGGCTTGATTTTAAGGTACATGGCGTGTGCGGGCAAGATCACTGATCTTTGTGAGCCTCGTCAATGGCCGTGACAGTGCCTTGCCTAGTGGCCGCCGACGTTGAAGCCGCTGCAGCCCTTCCTTAGCTCCATGTGACTTCTGCTGAACACTCAAGCACGCGCGGGCCCTTCTTCAGGTGTCTCCATGGTCCATGCCGCCCAGCTGCATCTTCGGGCGGCAGTTCTTCTTGACGCAGCCCGTGCAGGCAGGGCTGCTGTCGCTGCTGATGCACCTAATTAGTGACGATCTGAGAGCTTCGTTCAAGGCAACACCATGTCCATGCATGAGAGAAGGCTCCTCACGTGGATACCATCTAATTCCACCGAGGGCACTGGTTGATGCAATTGTCGCGGGAGCAGCCCACGAGCTGGGCCATGCAGCCGGCACAGCCCGCGGAGTAGCCTGATACTAAAAGCTCGAAACAACACGACGACCCGAAATAACACGGCAGCTGCGGTATTCTGAACACATGCTGCCAAGAAGCCCTGCTTCTTCATGCAGTCCTGGGTGCACGGGAAGCCTGCTGCGCAAGAGCGGCCGCAGTGGTTCAATGCCGAGTCGAAGCTCCGCTTGCCCCCGCTCTTCCAAATCTTGAGGTCAGTAGGATTCTGGCACTTGCCGCCCTCCAGCTCCTCATCGAGCTGCTCATGAGCCTTCACTTCAACTTCGGTCTCGTCTGCAATGGCCTCCAAGTAGTCGACCTTCATACCACGCAGCTGGTGGAGCTCCAGGCTGCAATCTCCTCCGGCAGTGCAGGTGTCGTCAACAGCCATCGCAGCTTCGATGTCCTCGCCACGGGCAGTCGCAAAGGCGAGAAGGGCCGCGAAAATGCGAAGGGCCATGGCTCGCCAAGGGTTTCTATCAGAGCGAAATGTAGAGCACTGTTCCACTTGCAAAGAAGCCAAGAATGCTTGAGCCGATGCATGAACACGTGGCCCGGGTCTTGCCAGGATGTATGAGCAAGTTGCGAAGACTTCCAAGTTGGAACCTCCAAACAAGGCCAGTGTAGGCTATCCTCTTAGGGGAGGCTAGAACAGAAGCAGAACAAGCTCGCCGGCAAAATCTCCTACCGTGACACCAGAAACCCAGCAAAGGGCCCTCAGAATGCACTGGCGCGATTTGCAGAACTGGGAAGCCCGCCCGGCGGATGCCTTGCATACAGTTCGGATGAACTCGGGAGTCTAGGTGGGAAAATGTGACTTTAAGAGCACGGTGAAGCGCTTCATATACGAGGTGATATGATCCTTCTTGGGGCTCGTCCACTTCAATGCCATATCTGGACTGCAAGTAGAATGATTTGCACGAGCAGGCAAGCACCTACCCTAAACCACGACAGCTGGCTCAGCCCTCCCTCCCCACCTCGGTGCCATCCTTGTCAGCCTGCGCTGTCTTGTCAGCATCTGCTTTGCCAGGCTTCCTGACAGACTTGAAGCAGCTTGTAGGGCATAGGCTACACCAGTGTTGAAGATCATCCAGAGTACAGGGACAGAGGCTAGTAATTCTTTAACACATGGTACAGTACAGTAGTTGTCGTGAGGTCAAGTTTCGCGAACATTCCACAGCACTTCAATTCGGCAGAGGAGCAGGTACATAGTGTTGCTGATTTCCGTGGGCCATAGCCACTTACCAGATGAAGAATTTGGAAGGACCACCCTCAGGCGTATGAGCACGGCTACTATAGGGGTACTTGGTTAGCCTAATCGGAACCCCTATAGTACATGGCTCAAGGGAGCCGTACCTTACATGAGCAAGTCAAGAATTGGGCTTTTGGGGTGCACTGCACTGCCATGAAAGCCAGCACGAAGGTTACGCATACTTTGCTGACGCTTGACCTAGGATCCCTGGCCCCATGGCCCCCACTCAACCTGTACCTCATCTGACCTTCCGAGCCCTAATTTAATCGTAGTATTTATTCGCCCAACAGGTTTGAAGCCCCCCAACCCCCACAACTAGGGAACAAAGCGACATGTCCAGAACCAGCCTGCTGGAAGCCTTGGACTTCGCAGCGGCCTCCTGCAACGGAGAAGAGGCTTCTGGGGATAGTGAGCTCTAGGTATACTGGTCCACTCTGCGTGCAGTACAGCATTCAGGAGTTGTCGACCTAATCTTGTGCTTTGCTGTTTTGGCTTGTAGCTTAGAGGGTTTGTCGTGGGTTCGGTATTGACAGGGTGGTTGTGCTATTATTTGCTATTCCAGTCATGGGAGGGGTGCAGTGCTCCTCAGCTAGCGGGCTCACTACGGCGCTCATATCGACGGCTGCTCTATAAAGCGCAAATGTTCATCTGGAACTGTAGTTCAGCCTCATTGGTGGACCAGACATGCAATGCTGCTACTATGAAGAGGAAATGGACGTGGGACTCAAGCAGGTTCCAAGGTGCCGGGACAGAGATGCACAGAGGTGGGATGCAAAACCAAAGAAGCGGATACTTTGCAAGCTCCGTATTCAGAAGGCTCGGGCTTCTAGTGCAGCCCCGGGATCGAAAAGCCCTCAACCCCGACATCACCACACCAGAATCCGGATGTGCCAAACCCTAGATGCATCTTAGAACCCATGAACTTGTGGATTGAGACATAAACTGAAGGCAACAGTTCTTCCGAGCTCATGCCTTTCTGGCCTCGGGGTGCATCTATGTCACGGGCGTGTGGAGCTGACAGCGGCTTACAGCACGTCGAAACAGCGCGTGCCGTTTGAAGCACAGAGCCCAAAACAGCCCAACTGACCCGCTGAAAACTACCGAGACTACTAACGGACTCCTCTTTGGCCCCAGCTTCGGACCTGAGCCCGACAACGCTGAATTTATGCCGCACATGGGCGGGAGGGGGAGGAGGGGAGTGATTATGAAATGCACCACCATGACGGTCTTTTATCTATACCGATATGACGTCTAATTGTGTTGCTGTCAAAAAGGTTGATTTACGCTTGTTTTCCTACCGTTTTGCTGCCGTTCTGCGACGAGTGCTTGCCACGTAACATCGCAGAACATCGCGTCAGTGTCAGTGCTCTTTAGTCCGCTTGTTATCATATATAAGTTCATATAAGTACCTAGACCCTCCTTTGATACACTTATTTCCGCTCGAATTTGTGCCAGATCAGTTTGCGCTCGTTTGCGGGAATATGCGCTCGATTGGCGGGTTTATGCGCTCGTTTTGCGGGTTGTGTTGTGCCCATATGCGGCATTATGCGCCCGTATGCGGTGTTATGCGCCCGCGTGCGTTTCGAGCGGAAATTTGTGTATCAAAGGGCGCTCCAGGTAAAATTGAGGGGATGGTCTTAGACGTCCATCTTACCTCACGCAATCCTGCCGTGCTTGCACATATCTGTTGCGCAGCCGCAAGCGGAACTGAGAGCTTGGCTTTTCCTTCTTCTTTGAGGGAGACGCGCCTCTGCTGCCTGGACAATCTGACATCTTGCGAGGGATCTTCCCTGTCGAAGATGGCCTTCTCTTCGCAGTGCGCAGGTCCATCCATGCTTTAGTGGTACCGTACTATGCACTGCCTTTGTGACTGAAAGCCTTTGCTGAGACCATTCAACGCCCTCGGGCCACTGGCAAGAAGACCCACAATGAACTTTATTTACTGGATGCACTACACTTCAGCCGGGTCAGCCGATGCCAGGCCTGGCTTGGGCGTCGGCGACGAGTCTGCGGACTCTGCTGCACCTGAGAGGGGCTGTGGGAACCAGTCTTGTCAGCAGGCTGCTCCTTCTTTCCAGTGAACCCTCGAGGTCCGGGATCAGGGACCGCTGTCAGACAGCAAAGTGCTGCCCAAGACGCTTTAACACGACCCTGCGCAAGCCCCGTGCTGAACTCTTCAGAAGGCGCAGAAAAATGCAAGCCCTTATGACATATTCTCTTCATACTGCACCCGCAATGCTTGCAGCGGTCCGTAGCCCGCCTTCGCCGCCGGTGCCTTTCTTGTCCCTGCCAGGGCGACGAATCATCCGGATTACAAGCTCCAGGATGTAACCATGTTTATAGTGCAAGGTGTACAGACTTTAAACCTGAAACCACATGGCCAACATCCTAGAACCTTCAACTGCACCGACGAGCCTAAACGCTTTACCCTCAACTCTCAACCCTGAAAACGGAATCCCGATTAAGCTTATGTTAGCCATGATGACGATCTCGACATTTGCCGGCGCTTATGTGGCACTGCATGATGTCGATGATAAATAACGACGATGATGATGACGGTGGTGATGATGATGATGACGACGATGTCATCATGATGACGATGTCATCATGATGACAACGATAATGATGATGTTGATGATGATGATGATGATGACGAAGATGAAGAAACAATACATGAAGATGATGACGATAATGATGATCATGTTGGCCATCAAAAACTCCAGCCACTGCTTTTGGCACCACTAGTAGCAATGGCAGAGTTATTTTCGATTGGCTTTGCTGATCAAGAAACCAAGTTCCACAAGCATGCCTGGGTTGAGACGCTGGGCGTGAAGCAGACCTTGCCCACAAAAGTGATGAACGTGCTAGGGTTTAGTAAAGGTTAGGGTTTAGGGTCTGCTGAATTGGTACAAGGCTTGCTGTACTAAGCTGAAGTTAACCTGTCACAGACAGCACGGCTTGTGATACATACATCGCCCTGCCATGCAGCACCTGGGAGTTTCCGAAAATAGGGGGACCCTGTTATAGTACCACAAATAGTAGGATTCTTATTAATTACAAAATTAGAATCCGACCCTAATAATATAGTACCCTACATAGTAGGATCCTAAATATAAAAAACCCAAGATAAGGTACCCCTAATTTCGGAAACTCCCACCTGAGCTCCTGCGTAGTGCGCTGGGTCACGGACTTTGGCTTCGCCTTGCCAGGGCTGGGAGCTGGTGACGGCTTGCGTTTCAGAGGCTTTTGAGCTAGGGTTAAGGGCTTAGGGTTTAGGGTCTTAAGCTGCCGATCAGTTAATATAGGGCTTCGGGGTATATTCTACTACAATCGTAATAAGGAATCCCCAAAATACTTAGTATAGGTGACATGAAGTGAGGCTTCAGGATGCTTCAGGATTTCGGGCCCAAGAAACTTCTTCCATCTCTCTCCTTGTGATTTGCAGTACTTCGGCAACCTTTCTCCGGAGGTAGGCATACTGCAAGCACCGTAGTTAATCCGCGAGCCCTCGCAGCCCCCTGATGCCTTTACCTAACCTTGATCGTGGGAACTTCTTCTCGGTGCTTGCAATAGCACAAGACTCGGGCTGGAGCTGGAGGGCAAGGATTCTGGCATTAGAGGCTGCAGGGCGACAGATTCACAGGTTACATGAGTCACGAGCCGCGAAATCTGCAAGCATCAAAAAGATGGCCTTCAAGGCAGGCTTCCATCATGCTGAATCCGAAACGCATTCTCTGAACCCGGAAGCCTTCAAGACCGAGGACTATTCTCAAACACAAAGCTCCTCTTAACTTTGCATGCCCAACCGAAGTCCTGCCTTCGCAAAATCCCAAGTCGCTGAAACAGAAACCTCCAAAATCCCAGCAAAAAAATAAACCTGGCATCACCGGCCTCCTCGCTGCCTGGCTCACCTGCAGGCCTGCGCAGAACTAACACGATGCAATGTCCGATAAATTTCATGGCTAGAATGTTCGGGGTTAAGGGCTCTGGGCTTCATAACGGTGCCTAAAAAGGCGGTCAGAATGCATGGTATGTTTGTTGACCAGAATCGTCCTCATGATCAGAGTGAAACCAGCATTTTCATAGTCATGTCTGCATCGGGGGAAACCTTGAAACTGAGTCAAAAGCAACGAAACATATGTAGTAGTGATAGTGCCGACCGAGAACGACTGCTTTCTCTCGTCGTGCTACCCATGATGCATATTGTGGGTCTCATTTCGACCTGGATCAATGCAATCATTATAATGATCGGTGGTGTCGTGTTGACTCGTCGTGGTGGCCACGACTGTGAAGGTGATCGTGAGGATGATAGTGACTATGATGATGATGATGATGATGCTCGCTTAATTAAGGCCGACGAAGCAAGCACACAGACAGAAACCCTTGTGGGGATATGGGCTTAGACAGCATGTGTTTAGGTGCTTCTTGCTTTTGAAGGCTCCGGCCCGTGAGCCCAATACCCGAAGTGACGCCCTGATGAATGCGTCGATTGCGTAGACTCTTTTAAACCCGACGGTGTTGACTGTCCAGATTCCCTCTTACGCTCCCGCCTTTCGTTCTTTGCCTTGCTTTTTGCAGAAGGCGCCTCCGCAGCGGACGGATCACTCCAGCCCAAGCCCTCTTAAAGCGCTTTCGAAATTTTGGCTTCGGAGATTCGTCACAACGTGGGCAATTGGCAGCGGCGGTGCCTGGGCTGGACCCTGAATCTGCTGCACAAGCTCTCAACTCAAACCGGTCTTGGAACCTGCGCTGCTGCCGGCTCTTCCGCTGTGGATTCGGGCAGCCTGGCGTGGTGACATGATCGCATGAGCACATCTCCACAAACGCAACGAGCTGGGATCAGCGAAAGCAGCAACTCAGCCAGGACAGCACACTCTGTGAACTGATAGGCGGCTACGTCGAATAATTGCAGGGTCTTGCACCGCGGCCTCGACTCCTTTTTGACATCGTCCTTGCTCCTCCTGCAGCAATAAGAAAGCGCAGGAAGAGCTTCTGTGCAAGAAAAAACACGCTGGTGGAGGAAGCACATGTCCAGGAGCCTTCCTGGCATGCCCGACCTTTAAAACCCTTCGAGATCTTCAAGATGAAACTGTTTAGACTGCATACCTCACGGAAACCATGACTCCGTCCACCTTAGCCTGAAACGACAACTTCTGAGATACCCCGATCGAAAGAATGCATTTTGATAAAGCCTCCTTACCTTGCGCTTCGAGCAACCGCTGTTCAATCCACGAACACTTGAAACACGACCAAAACAGGTTTAAGGTTCAATCATGAAAGACCTTTGCGGAGTATGAAGTTCCCTTCTCACACCTGAAAAGCTTGCGTTGCCCCATAGAACTTGCTTGTCGGTTGGGAGGTCCTCTGTGCTGAAGTTGGCTTTTGCGACGCCTGCACGAGACGCTCGGAAAAACGCGCCAGGTTCTGCGGATTCTCCGGGTCTTCTTGCTGCGCAAGAAGATGCTTCAGGTTGCAGCTCCAGCCTTGGAGCCCTCCGATCTGGGATCCTGCCACGCAGGACAGGTTAAAGCTTCAGGGTTTTGGGGTTTTGGGGCGTAGGGTTTGGGCTTTAGGGTTTGGTTACAAGCCTCCCTGCCATGTCCTAGCCAGGTGGGTTTCTTGAGACGTTGAAACATACTCAAAAGTGCATGCATGGCACTGGCAGAGCCGACTAAGTCTCGCAGCAATGCAGCTTGCCCACACCCTCCAGGCCTTGGAGGGGTTCAAGCGGGAAGGAGCCTGTTCTTCGACAAACAGGTGCATGTGGCTAGCATTGCATCCGATTCTTCCGCCAGTCCGAAACACAGGCTGTACACGGTTTGGACTAGGCCTGCGGAGAAACAGCCACTGGTCGTCAGCAACAGACCGAGCTCTGCTAACACATCTGCTAGAATAACGAATCGAGACCAAGAGGGTTGCGGACACAGGTCGGCAGGAACGGTTCCAAGAAGACGGCTGCAAACTCAACGATTGTGTCGACGGCAATCATTTCCGTCTCTCTTCGATGCCCCGCCGAGATCTCCCAAAGCAAGCAGGGACCCTATCTAAACACAGCAATGGCAAACACCAAACACTGCAAGGCAACATCAACCCGAAGCCTTGAACTCTCAACCCTACATATCAAGCAATAGCAATCTTGATGCTACTCTCAAAAACCAGCAATCTTAAAAAATGTCGTGGTTGCAATGGCAATCCAAATAATCCAATTAAACCCCTAAATCCTACAACCCTTATGACCTTCGGTACTGCCCGGGCAGCTGGCCTTGGAGCCAGAAGCCTTCCTGGTGAGAGATGAGAAAAAGGTAATTAGGAGCCAGAAGACACTTCTAGGACAGGGTTGAGGGTTTACGGTTTGCATTAAAAGTGCTGCTGTCGCAGTCTTATTCTTTCTCCAACTGTGACGTCGCCTCTGGATCGAAGTATACGTTGCCACAAACCCTAGCCCGCGAAAACCCTGAGTGCCTGAAGCCCTTCTTGATTCCTCGGCAAAACCCTATAGACCCTAAACCGTAAACCCTGAACCTTAAACCCGAAACACAAACAACACCTGATTCCTATGCCCCATCTACCCGTCGCTTGCTTCTTGGCCCGTCCTTGGGCCAACGTCGTCTCTCAAGAACTGATTTCCTCGTCGCCGGGCTCTGGTGGGTGGGATATTCACGACAGGGCCAAGCCGTCAAACTCAAGCTTGAAGGTGTGGGGCTCAGGTGTTCCCTAAACCCCTATAACCCTAAACCCTAAACCCCTAAACCCCAAACCCACCAGGGTTTCGTTTCGGAGGTGTGGATTCGGCTCCGGGTTCGGTGGCATTCCTTTAGTCTTCGGCATTGTGGCATTCGGATGATGGATGGTCGCTTCGGTGCCTGGGCATGTCAACTTAGGGTGCAGAACATTGAGAGCCGGACAGCCTTCAACTGAGAACCACGCTGAAGTTAGAACCGGCTTTTGACAAGATCGTTTGGGAAAACCTGATTACTTGATACTTTCACAACAGCATGCAGATGGCAGGGAGGTTTGGGGCAAAACGGAGCTTTAATTTGCCGCTTCGCTCAAGAAGGCCGGAATTCGGATACACCCGACAAAAAACTCCATGAGTATACCCTTCCAACCCTAACCGCCGTTTTCCGCCTTGGATAGTACTCATCGCCGAAGCAAGATCTGCTTCAAGTTCCTCCGCGCGGTGAAGGAAACTTGTCTGATGTTTGCTGCAGGAAACTGGTCGAAAGGCAAAACGAACACCAATGTATAGCAGTTTTCGCACAACAAGCAGTACCCATCCTAACTATCGTGAGAACCTAAGCATGATCGCCATCGTACATTGGCGAGAATTGAGTCGGCAGAGCCTATTCCATGGTGGGGCTTGAAAATTCAAGCCCTGCCAGTTTTTCGCGCGAGGAAGCAAAGGTCCTCCAAGCTCAGCTGCAGAGCAGACGTACTGCCGTTCTTGACGAAGTACTTGTAGTCATCGAAGCTGGGATTTGCAAGGAAGCAGACCTTCCACCAAGGGCTTCAGTGCAGCAGGGTGATAAGATGATACGATACTTCTGGACAATACCGCGTTCGCTGCGCAGCCGAAGACCCCACATATGCCTCTGTCACGGACGAACGGCACTTTTTCGGACCGCATGAGAATCTTCCAATTTGTTTTCGTCATCCGATGCCCTCAACCATAGAGGGCGATTGGCTATGGATTGTCGTGTTGACTGCAGGACACTTCAGGGCTCTAGCATAGCGATCTTGATTCTCACAAAGGCCCACAAATCAGGTCAAGCTTCCGGGCCGTTAAGCTGTGAATATATCTAAGGCTACCCTAAAAGTCCCAGAAACCACGATGAACGCCCTGACGAGGCCATTGTAAGACCTCCTAAAGCCGGGCCTCCACCTGCACCGTGTCTCGGCCGGTGGCCGTGTACTCAAACCAGCCTTTGATGGGCCAAAGAGCCTGCAAAGCATGGAGGAGTTCGGGGCTTTCCTGTGTAGGGTAGAGAGGTCACAGGGTTTATGGTATCCGACTGTTAAAGCAGAGGCGGAGGTGCAGCAAGGCGAGTAATATTGACAACATTGAGGATTGCAATCACCGTCGCCACTGCAGCGGTGCCCTTTACCCTGGTTACAGGACTTCTGATGTCTTCGGCTTCCTAGAGCACCGTTGCACATCCGCGTTTCATCCAAGCCCGTCATTGCCCCGCTTCTTGACCAACGGAGCTTCACATGCACAAGGGTGTTCCACCATCCTAGACTCTGAGACTCTTGACACGACAGATCTCACGGACGGACCTCCTCCCGCAACCGCTCGACATGCCGGCGGGCAAGCCAGGCACGCCATTCAGTCTGCGCACAGCGTAGCTTAAAGGGAACTCTAGAAAGTTGGAATATGGTTTCAGGGTAGGATACCTTATAATTTACCATAGAGGCTTTAGGATAATCATATTCCAACTTTCTAACTTTTCCTTTAGGGGTTCCAGGGGATGTCTACGATGCAACAGGGCGTAAATCAAAACCTCGCAGTGTCTGGTCTGGCGATCTACCACTAAATGATCAAAGTTTGGTCTCGGATCTCGAAAACTTATCTTGGGATTTTTGGAGGCTTTGAGAATTTAAGCCGTGTTGTTGCATTCGTTCTTCGGGCCCGAGGGTAGGATGGCAAGGCTGCAGAAATTGAGAAGCTTCAGATGCTTGTGCGAGGCTACCACGGACTACAACCAGGAAATGTGGTTGCAGGACGGTTTCGTTTTGGGCGAAGCGCTGCGACACCTAGACTGACAACATGCCGTGATCGCTGCACACGTTCTTCGACTAAGCACAGCCCCCCGGAAAGCGGGAAGTTTGCCTGTACTGTGCAGTACCACAGCCAGAGTACCCCAACCGGGAAGGTGAAAGAGGCAAACGCATAGTTCAAGCCATGCAGAACAAGATCCCACCGCCGCCAGCTTCGAGCCCTTCAAATCCCCGGACCTTACACCGCAAAGCCTACTTCGGCACACAACCCTGGAGAATTCCAGAATTTGCGAGTAAGGATGGCCTGGATCATGGTGGCCGCAAACATCTTGACATTGTTGGTGATGCCAATATGAAGATAGCCCTCCAGTGCTTGGGTCTCATTCCCTTTTCTTCGGGTTTCGGGGTTCAGGATATGGCGTTGATAGCTACAGGTTTATGAGTGCTGACAGAGGACAACTTGACATTCAAGCCGTGGATCAGCCCTGTCCCTGTACGAACTTGAATTCCTGGCAGCACGGACATACTGTATTGAGAGCAGAAGAGCAAGAAGGGTCTCCTGCCTATCACAACTTCAGCTGACGAAACTTCTCTGTACTTCTCAAGGAGATTCACACCAGTGCTTGTCAGTCAAGACTGCACGTGGCTTGAGACTTGAAGTTGGTGGGATGATGAAGAGGCCTTAAAATCCATCTGGCGGAAGTAGACCGCCAGTGGGCTAGTACAAAGCACAACACTTCACTGCAGCGGGCCGACAGGCATGTACATCATTGTTGCTTGGAGCTGCTAAAGGCTTGCAGTTTCCGAGGGCGGTCCCGATAGTTCTCAGAAGGTCTGTCCAGTCTGTACGGTTCAATCCATGCGGTGGGCCTGGGCCAGAAATCGCTTGACGAAGGCCTGGCAGCTGTGATGCAGGCATCAGGTTGCAAGCAATGGATTTGAACGCCGGTCGCCCCAGCCCAACCCTCCCAGTACGACCTGAAAAACCACTGAGCTTCCTGCCTGCACGGACTTGATGCTGTCGATATTGCTTTCCAGTGCAGCCTCCATCCAACGGTTAGGGCTTCATCATGACAGCCATATCCTGAAAGTGTGTGCCCTGGTTCAGCCACCCCCACTCAGTCTGACAAAGAACCGATCATGCACTGAACTGTCTGAGACACGGGCATTTCGCTTCTCAAAGATGAGATTCCGTCCTTAGATTAAGATTATGGCCAGATCTGCTGACGGAACTCAGCTGAAGGCTCTGATCCGCCATTACTGCTCCTAGAACTGTAACAATGCTACATACCGTCGACGCATGCTCTTTCAAGGGCTCGTTGACTAGGCGTTAGGGGCTCTTCCTCCGTATCCATCCGACGGACAGAAGCAATCGTCCTTAGAGAGAACACCTTCCGTCCACCACTCGTCAGAAGGCTTGCAGTCGTTGAATTAGGCCGCTGCGGCAACCTCATCAATGAGGCTCCGGCGACGCACACTGTAGCCTCGAGTATGGCCTGAATGCAGACAAGCTCACGGTAAGGATTTGTAACTGCATCAGGGGCTTTCGGTTCAGAGTTAGCTCAGCGGCAGCTATTCATGATAATGTGCAGAAATTTCGGTTCCTATTCGGCAAGAGAGCTGTCACTGTCAGTAGTAGAAGAACTACTGTCCCCGATGAATCGCGACTCTTTGCTGCTCGGGCATCGGCGAGGCAGTTGGTGTATCTCTAGAGACTCGAGACTCTAGACTCAAGGAGAGACTCCAGTCTTGGACCCGAAGCCACAGTTTAGGCAAAAGCAGCAGCACGACATTGCGGGGGGGGGAGATGTTTGCAATCCCTCGTGCATGCCAGCGATGCAAGCTTCGTCTAGTCATCTAGTCACACTCCATCGAAGTTTAGGGTCCAGATAATCGAACTGTTTAACCAAGGCACGCTGAATGGTAATGGCCGCAGCTTTTCTTCTGTCCACTTCCTGCAGCAAGCTTTGCACTGCTTGTCAGCCCAGAGGAGCTCGCACTCACCTCAACTTCAAGTGCTTAGAGGCCCAGAGAGCCCGAGACGCCTTGAGAAAAGGACGATTCCGCAGGTTACCTCTTGATGGTCGCAATCCACAAAGCCTCTCAAGAAACCAGATTTAGTCTGAGGGGTGACACGAAAAGCTCGAGCCCAAACCCCGACCTCGCTAACAGTGGCAACATCATGCGGAAACCTGCCAAAATCATGAGATGATACATCGGAATCCATGCATGCTCCCAGCAGGGACCCAATTTAGCCCTATTTGCAACACTCACAGGAAACGTCCTTGAGGCTGAACTCCACCATTCCCTCCACGGCGCTTCTGGCGATCTCGGTTGGCAGCAGCAATCACAATACTGGCGCTACCGACCGCGTTGACAACATGAAGCCCTTGACAGACGAAACCCAGGATTAGTCTCCTTCACACCCGTACGTCTAGAGTGCGATTGTCTGTCATGACACGGCCCCAAAAGGCTGGACCGGAGGCAGCATTGGAATTGAACAGCCGCATTGGAATAGAACAACGTTGCGTGCCATGAAGGCGGTGAACAAGCTCATCTGCAAGGCTCTGGCTTTCTTCAGCCGCGTCGTTCTTATCCTTGCCAGATGGCCTCTCGGGTGCAGGACTGAACGGACTTCGATGTGCTGCTGTCGCTGTTGCTGCTGCTGCCGTCGCTATGTACCTTCTGTTGCTTCTGAGGCTGCTACAACTCTAGTAACTATAGGTATTGCCATTGTTGCTTATTGTTGTCATTGCTTCACGGTCGAACGGTCGTGCTTGTCGGTCGTGAGACTATTTCTCCAAAGTGCTCATGTCTCTGCACAGTTGCTGGCGCCCCAAAATGCGTAAGCTGCAAGAGAAGGGCCAGCAACGGGGACGTGCCGCATACACCTGTCGCTTACAGCAAGGCGTGTTAGGAAGGCCTGCAGAATCCAACAAATCCCATCAAATCAAACAGCAGACCCTAAACCCGTATTGGCCTCGGGCCAGTCGCTGGCAGTGGACAATCGCCATGACCTCCCAGTTGCTGACGCCCACCTGAACCAAAACATCGTGGGCTTCATGCATGCCACACAAAGTACTGTAGTTGCTATTGTTTCATCACTACTTAAGCTAGGTTCGGGTGTGGCTAGTAGGCCGAGACTCTAGAGTCAGGCCTCTCTGTTAAAGCTGCCGCACCTTCTTGAAGATGTCAACAAAGTTGGTCTTTTTCTCGGCCTCGGGCTTCTCCTCGGCACCTTCGCAATCTCTGGACGTCGTCAAAATAATCGAAAGCTGTGCAGGTCCAGACAAGAAAGTGCAAAGACAAACAAGAAGGAAACCATCACCTCCGATAAGCCGAACATCACATCCATGAAAGTTAGGCCTGCGGGCCCCCGGGCCTTCTGCACTGCCCCCCCAGCTGCCTAGGACTTTACTCGACATTTCGATGGGCCTGTCTCCTCATCCTCCCAGGGCGCCATGAAGACTTGCCTTCAGGACTCGGGGATAGGTGTTAGGGATTTAGGACTATAGGGTTTAGGAGTTTAGGGGTAAGCTTAATAGATTAATAGCCTTCAGGACCTGAAGGATAGAATTTATTGGGCTCATAGGATTTATGGGGCCATTATAGGGGTTAGGGCTTTAGAGTTTAGGTGTTAGGGATCTAGGATTATAGGGCTTTGGGAGTTTAGGGGCAAGGTTCATAAGCTTCAGGGTTCAAGGGTTCAGGGACTTCATCCCAGGACTTAGGACACAGTTCTGACGACATGCTTAGGGTTGCAGGTGCGGTCCAGAGTTACAAACCCGAAGGGCTCAGTGCTTCGTATCAGATGTTCAATATCTGGGGATCCAAAAACTATCGTTTTTAGGGTTCGACCCTCTAATCAAGGGCTCATAACATAGCCTACTATTTTGTAGGGTTTGGGGATACAGGTAGTCATGGGCCATCACCCCAACTAACACGCAACAGACAAGCACAGCAACGCCAGCCATCGGATCATGGGCCGGAGCCAACAAGAAGCTCTAAACTGTATCCAAGCGGCCAGGACCATGGCAACATTTTCGACGACTGCTTCTCGTGGTTCAAGCTAAAGACCACCTGCAGGTGCAGACCCTAACCCCTAAATCCCTGAAACCCAAACCCTTCAAGCCTAAACCCTGAAGGCCCGTTTGAAGAACCGGAGCTGGGAGAGGTGGCACTCGTTGCTTGTGCTTGCTTCGTTGTCAGGAATCTTAGCCAAAACTTCTTTGGATAGAACTCATTGAAAACGTATATTCCCGAGTTTAGATTCAAGTGCTGGGAATCCCGGAAGTGGAGCTGGAGTCTGTGGCAAGGGCCTTGCTCGATGCCCGAAATCTCGAATCCCGCTTGCATACAACAGCAAAGATGCTGGTCAATAACATCAAAAGAACTGGCGAGAACACGTCGCCTAAGCCCAAAGTGCCACGATGGCTATCTTCATCTTCTAGTGCGATAATGATGGCGATGCCGGCTGCAATTTCGAAAGGGAACAGATTGTTGTCCGAGCAGACTGCAACGAAAGCCCAATGAACATCTGCCTGAACGGGCTGTAGAGTCAGCGACTTTTCGTAGAGCTCCTTCCTGAGGAGAAAGATGCGGGCCTGCCACCACACGTGTGCACAAACAAGAGAGCACTGTATTGAGCTTCAAGATGTTTCGGGCTTGGCCCTGATGTGGTAGCCTTCCGCCCAGGCAAGTTATGAAAAAGACCCTTGCTTCCGTGTCGCAGACTGTTGTGGAGTCGCAGATGGAAGTGCTGTCAGCGTGTGTGTGTGTGTGTGTCTGTGTGTGTCTGTGTGTGTCTGTGTGTGTCTGTGTGTGTCTGTGTGTGTCTGTGTGTGTGTGTCTGTGTGTGTCTGTGTGTGTGTCTGTGTGTGTCTGTGTGTGTGTGTCTGTGTGTGTGTGTGTGTGTGTGTTTGTGTTTGTGTGTGTGTGTGCGTGTGTGTGTGTGTGTGTGTGTGTGTGTGTGTGTGTTTGTGTGTGTGTGTGTGTGGGGGTGGATTTCCCCTGGTATCAAAACACATGAGCCTCAGCAGAATCACGATTAATTAGCAATCCTTCTTGCAAGCATTCGTCATCGTCGCCGAGTCAAAGCCACACGGGCCAAGCCAATCCTGCACCTTCAACTCAATCCTTGCCTGCCCCTCTCCCTCGCCCCTGCAAGCCACCTGCCGCTGGATTGTGCTGATGCCCATAGCATATCTGATGAGCTTGCGGCGGTTGACTTCGCGCTTGGACAAAGCCATGCGGACTGCGACGGCAGCAGAGAGTGAGCTTCAGGAGCGCTTATCGGTTATTGAGAGACTGAACTCTAGAGTATGGGCTTTGGGGCAGCTGTCTGCATGGGAGCGAGGTGATCCCTGCATCGGTTGACCCTGCCAATGCCGCACCTGGTCCCTCTTCTCCCTAGCCTACAACATAAACGAACTTAACCTCGACATCCTGCACACGAACCCTTTAACGAGAGTCGAGGCGGATGAGGTCTCGTTTGTTCCGGAGCTGCACTGGTAGTTATTTTGCTTCCTGTTGCAGAGGGCTCTTGGGCCACTGGAAGATATTAACACCAAGCCAGAGAGATGACCAAGTGTAACTGAACATTTGCTCAGTTACTGATATAAAGGTACGTATAGCAAACACTATCACTGTTAACAATTGCTGATGTATGGTTGCTCGCAAGGCTCTATTGTGAAAACCCTTGCTGCTACCAGGGGCAGTCGCGCCAGGGCTCCTAGTCGTTTGGTTGCATGGCCTCCGCTCTGGATCGTGATGGCGCTGCGCAGAAGGCACTTGTAGCGCTCCTCTGCTATACATCATTGACGGCAGCTTCGATCGCCACGGTCACGGCGATATATGCAAGTAAGTGAATATTCGTGGCAACTATCTTATCTTGTGTGCTTCGAACTGCTATCTGCGGTATGATGCCTCAGTTACGTGAACTCGAAAAACTCTCGGGGTTACGATTGAAGACCTGGAGAACCTTGCTGGCCCAGCTTTGGGTGCAGGCGGGCAGGGCCTTCTCGATAACTTCTGCCATTCCTCCTCCTCCTCCTCCTCTTCCTCCTCCTCCTCCTCTTACTACCATTTCAATGCTCCTACATATCTGCTCTCGTCCAACAGCACCACTTGCTGAACGCAATGATCGCAACTGCGTTGCTGCAGATAAGTAGCCACCATCATATTTGAGGAGCTGAACACTAGCTGCTGCACGAACCAACACGAAGTGCTAAACAATCATCGTGCTCCCTGTCCCTCAACCTGGCCTTCTCGGCTGCTAAAGAGGAAACGTACTGCCGATCTCGGCAGCCGCGCCAAACCCTGGCATGCAGCATGGGATGATCAAGGCAGAGCTGTTCAAAGTAGCCTATACTCTCCGTAGCTGCAGCTCTTCAGGATGCTAGAGGGTGGAAGCTTTGAAGACGGCGGTGCCTGACAAACTTGGTAGCTACTCATCCTGTTTGCAGATTATAAGCACGTGGGTGAATTGTGACAGCAAGCCATGCAATAGATGTCCACAATCGAAAATGCAGGCTGCAAGTGAGCCCTAAACCTTCAAATCCAAACTTCATACGCTCTGCCCTGCCTCTGGATCTTTGTGGCAGCCGTGTGCAGCCTTTCCTGCTTCTTTCGTGCCACTTTTCTCCTGCAGCACGACAGGAGTCAGATTGTCTGCATCAGCACGTGCACACATCCAGCAGTTCTCTATTACATATGCACAATGCATATGTGTGTGCCGTTCTACCTTTGCAATGTCGCCTGTATGTATGTATGTATGTATGTACGTGAGTAGGTATGTATGTATAGATTATACATGTGTATGTATATATATATATATATGTATGTATGTATGTGTATGTATGTATGTATGGCGTGCGCAGCCAAACACGCCGAACACAGACTAACCTATTCACATCCAAATCCGGCATGCAAAACCCTCCGCAGCCCTGAATCTCAACCCTTCCATGGCTAAGCTACACGGTTGACAATGAATTCGAGAGAAACGTTCAAGCCTACCGGAGAAATGGACCATGCAACGCCTTCGGTCGACAGCTCAATGCCAAGGACAGCCTTGTGCTTGCCTTGTCCAACTACAAGGCTACAACACATCACATGCCCCCCACCCCCTTCGCCCAGTGCCTAGCCAGCCAGATCCGGGCCATAGCCTGAATCTTTGTCATGACCTGGCCGATTAGATGCAGGCAAAGCCAACCTGCAGGAAGCCCAATCTAGACTTGCGCATTTCTAGTTCTGGTTTTCCGCTCTCATGCTGACATCAAGGGCCTAAGTTGCGGATGCGAGGTGTGGATTTGTGGCATCACACTGTTTGTCTCGTCTTCTCACCTTGGCCTGTCAAGACAGGCGCCGTCCCTGCAAGTCCAAACTCCCTGCATAAACCAATTTACCTCAATACTGATACTGTGGGTGTCGCTGGACTCGACAGCTCAGCATTTGTGAAGTTTGGGAGATGAGCTAGCTAGTAATTGCAATAACGCGACAGCCTCAAACAACACAATGCTCAGATTGAACTCCGCAAACCAAACCCATGAACCGTGGTAACACGTGTCGTATCAACCGGCAGTTTGGCTATCTTCGGCAACTTGAGACTATACAAGACCCTGGATACTGCAGGAGCTGCCTGCTCCCACACAAAGCAACGAAACTGCAAAAGACAACACGTTGAATATCCATAAGCCACCAACACAGGAAGGACTTCAAAAGCCAAAAGCACGTGGTTGAACTAACTAACCCCCGTGGCCAACACATGAATACGAAACCTCTCTCATCCCGGATTCCGTGGAAACCCTATCTACGATCCCGCAGAACAATCATACATACATGAGAGTAGCGCCTTTATTGAGCATGCACAATGGATCACACGAACATAGACAGTATAAGTACGGTATAAGTTGTTGGAGCTCTATTGTCTTTTTCTCCACCCGAAGAACACAGGTCTTCCACAAAACGGTGCCTTGCTAAGGTACAAGCGATGCTTCACCAAGGGCCTCGGTGGTACATGCATTTCATGGCTCTTTGCAAGAACATGCAAGAACCGCATCATGACGCGTGCCTGGCCCCGTGAAAGGGCTTCAAGTTTGCAAGGGGCCGAAACCGAAAACTCTGAGGTCCTTGAGGTCTGTCGGGGTTGGCGGGGTCCGCACGGCTTAAAGGCTTGGGGGCATCGCGAGTTGAGATTTCGGGCTCAGGCTGCTGTTTTCGGGGTCTAGGTTGGAGAGGATCGCGCACGCCTCGGCTTAAAGGCTTACGCAGTCCAGGTTGCTGCTATAGGTTCTGTAGCACTCTCAGGAAAACAAATGTGACCCTGCGATCGACATCCGCACCTTCTGAGCATGTGGCCGGAATCTCTTGCGAGTGAGGATGCCGCGCATCCGCTTCTGCGAGGGGGGAGTCATTGCAATGCCAGGTCTTCCCCGAAGCCCGAACTCCCTAACCCGCAAATTGAGGCAAGGCAGCTAAACAGACCAGGGCTCGATGTACACCAGAAGCCCTTACTCACAGGCCCTGGGCTCTCCAGACAATCAAGACAGCTTTCTAAATGGAGCCCTGCGCTCTGATCTTTGTACATGTCGATGCATCTAGGCCCTACAGTGGGCCTGATGGAGAAACATCAAAACAAGAGGGTTCCGGATCCTGTTGACAGATTCGTCTCGGTAGAAACAACACAGAGCCCATTGGGACTCCGCAAGCCCTCGTTTTGATGAAGCTCCTGATGCCTCGGATACCCAGCAGAGACCCGGCACGAAGCTCAGGAGAGGATCATGTTTCGAGCATCTGAGCACATGTGGCTTCTCTGCTTGGGGCAAGCTGCCAGCGACCTTCTGTCAGCCAAACAGCCGACTGCTTCGCACCTGAGTACATTTGTGGCACAAGCTACGTTCGTCGCTGCTGCAGCACCTGCCCGGACCCTCTGGAACAACCTTTCTCTATAGGTATCAAGCAGAGACTGTGCTGCAGGCATTACAGATCGATTGCCAGTCAACGAAGCGCCACATCGGGACTTCAACTTTCATCTGATGCCAGTTCAGCGACGCAAAAATAGTGTAAACTTTCAGATATGCTCGAGGCTCTAAGACACCCACACTCACTCAAGTAACGCGAGCCTGCACCAAGCAGTGCATATACTGCCGTGCAAGCTATGCCCGGGCGATCGTCGCACCAGTGGCGCCCTATCAAATGCAAGACCCTCTCCTCTGAAACGAAATTTAGCAGACATGGCCATCGCACACCATCGATAAGCTGTATGTATCCCTGTCCAACTTTGCTGAAGCCGAAGGGCTCGTGTGCATTAAACTTGTCCGATATCCAGGTACCACAAGCCGTCCTGTTAAGGAAGCCCCAGATCCGTAGAACCATGTTTCACAACGCTGCAAAGAAGCCACGGCTTCCGTCAGAGTCCTCTGGAACTTCTCGTGCTGGTGCCTTGGCATAGCGCCCGAATCATGGTTTGTAGTTAAGGTTAGGGGTCGGTTCAGCAGCTGGCGAAGGCAAACCCGACACAGCAACCTGCTGAACTTGGACTGAGACTCTGGGGGCCTTGACTTGCGGATGAGTTGATGTGAACATATGGAGCCTTCGACCATGACTTGTTAACTTGAGGTTCAAGGCTTAGGTTGCACAGCTTCTGAAAGCAGAATCCTGAACTTGCAACCTACATCTGAGACTTGCGCGGTCATAGCAATCTTGCAGAATTCGCAAGTACCGATCCTTGGCGACAGCAGCTCTTGACAACATTTACTATAGGGTTTTGGTGAGTGATACAGTTTTTCTACTATAGCCAGCATAGTCAACAACGAGCACTATTCATTCAGGCCTCTACAGTACAATCCACCCAGCTTCGGGTTTCGGTTCTGCAGCTGTAAGAGGCATAGACACATGCAAAGCAGAAATCGAAAGTTGCACCATCCCACGGACCAAATTTATAAACTCGCATCAGGTCGACCTTGATGACATCCCAATTACAACCTTCATGCTGCAAGTATCATGTCGACGGCAACCCGAGCCAGAGCTGTTAGCTTCAGAGTTGGAACTTTGAGGTATGTTTCGACCCAAAATCAAGGACTGCATGGCCGAGGAAAGTAGCCATCATGAAAGCAACTTTGCTTTGGAATCCCCGGCATCCCTAGACTCGGCCATCCCTGCAATCCCAACCGTCATGGAAAAACACCTAATGACCCAATGACGGTAATGAGAACGGAGACCAAACAAGACCTGGTCAAGTCCGCTCGTGCCC